AAAACAAAAAAAAAAAAAAAAAAAAAAAAACTTATCAATGTTACACAGTGATATTGATGATTTTTTTACCTTTTATCTTCAACTTTGTCTTTGAATTTCTGGGAAAAAACCCCAAAAAAAAAAAAAACAAACAAAACATTAACTTAAAATTGGAAAAACAAAATTGCTCCTAAATACCAAGAAATTATTATAGTAATTTTATGTTAATCTCCATTTACACTCTTTCATGAAACTATTATGATAATGGCGGTGATTTTGATAATTTTGTAGGATTTTTTGAAACTTAGAGTTAGTATGTTGACTTCGAGGTTTATACATGCTATTCAAGTTTTTATGTTTTTTTTTTAACAAGCGGCGTTTAGGATTTACACAATTCGCTTGGCAAAACAGCAATCAAAGCAAAAGCTAAATCAAATTGAGAGGAAGGATGTTGTAGATGAAGGCGCTTTTTTTCTCATCCTACTTTGCCTTTTTCTACGGAGAATAGGAATGTAACGGTGACGAAAGAGAAAAAGGAAATAGAGATAAATTTTTTTTAACCAGAAGTTTCTATATTTTCTTATACAAATTTATAATTGTAAATTTATTGTAATAAATAATTATTAAGGCAAGTATAACTTATTTTATATTTTGGACACATTATTTTTAATAATTTTGATTTAACAATATTATACCTTAAATATACAAACTCTACGTAATTATTTTAGTATTAAATGACATACAATAATTACCATAAACAATGTTTCATAGTTGATAAATTCTATTAGGCAATAAAATTACTATTATAAATCTTTTATACTAACAATGTTTAATAGTTGGTATACTGTTCACACATTATTTTTAATTATTTTGATTTATTAATATTATATCTTATTTATAAAAATTGAAGTAATACTTTTAGTACTATTGATGTGACTAAAAATTATCTTAATTATTAAGGCAATGAATAGTTTTAAAAAGTCTTCAAATGTATGAACATCGAATCAATTAGTAGGACAATTATATTAGGTAATGTAATTAATAATTTACTTTTTAAAATTATATCACATTTCAATAATGAATATTTTCTTAAAGTATATACCCAACTATGCTTATCAATATATAATTAAAAGTGTGTGTGTGTGTGTGCGCGCGCGCGCGTGTGTGTGTATTACACACACACACACACACACACACACTCACACTTAATGTATAATATTTTTAGTACAAATTAAATTATATTTGCCTTAATAATTATTTATTAATAGTATGGTAATGTATTTAAATATTGGAAGAGAACAATATTATAATTAATGAAATTATTATGGTACTTGCCACAATATTTGGTAATTATAATTGATGAAATTGAAAGTATAAGATTTCTTCTGTAAAAATATTTTTGCCAATTTCATTAGATTGTAATTAATAAAGTATGAAATATAATTAAGGAAATAAAATTATAAAATTAACAAAATATAAACATTTATAAATTTTTGTAAATACATACATATATACACTTATGCACTGTACTAACCATACAAAATTTAAATGCTACATTTTAAATTATAAATTTATCAATATGAATTATAAATAATAAAATTATATTATAGAATTTTCCTATATACATATTAATAAATATTATGTGTTGTTAGGAACCTTGTATTAGGATTTTGATGATATCAATCGCAGCTTTCGTCCTAGACGAGAGTTGCCATAACTCCTTTGTAATTCGTGTTAAGCTAGACAAACACACGAAAATGAGTTTATGATTAGTTGTTAGGGTCTCCAAGACGAAAGAAGACACAAGGCATGATGAACAACAACGAAAGTTAAAGCAGGAGTTGTCAACTATCACGAAAGGACAGTTTTGTTAAAAGACGAATTTTACCAAGCATTACTTCTCTTCGACAACGAGAAGAATGTTCTACCTGTCTGATTTGACAACATCCTAGGACAATAAAGGACCTCATCTTATGGGACACACTTATCAAGGAGCATTAAATGAAGATGTACCATCTCCTGGAGCTAAAGGACAAAAACCCTAATGCTTTCCATACCTTCAACGGCTACATGGTACAACCTCATTAATGGAGCATTTAATGCATGAAGCTCCCCGGTCCTTGTCCAATGGTTAAAAGGTTCGAAAATTTCATCTCCCTCCAACGGATGAATTTTCATCACCTATATAAACTCACCTTCATCAACTAAGAAGCAGCTGGTTCATTACACTCGATTTATCTACTTGCAAAAGCTCTTGAACGCTCTCAAATCTCCAAAAGCTTTTGTGAATCAGTGTTAAGGTGTCAAGTTACTTGAAGAAGATTATTGATCATTTTCTTGCACCTTAAAGAAGTCTTGCCATCTGATCGAAGCAATCATCTCTCACAGTCAAGACTTCATCGTTGGAGAAATCAAGAAATCATTTTCTACCAACCTCAACTCTGAAGAAGAAGTTGATAGAGGTGGAGTAAACTCGAGGAGTTGAAAAACCTACGAAGGCTGTCCGGCTCAGTGATCAAGGAAGTCTTTGTGTAATTGTACTAAGAAGTGATAGTGCAATCCTTCCATAAATTGTGGAAGAAGAATGGAGTAGGCAACGTTAGCCGAACCACTATAAAATCTCTTGTCCCTTCTATCTCTTTACTTACGCATTTTACTTCTGCATTCATATCCTTTTTTTTTTATCACCCTTACGAAAGCTTTCCTAATTTCGTAAACTCGTGCAAAGCATTTAAAAACAAATCTGACTTTTTCGCTGCGCCAAAACACCGAAAAGGTGACGTTTAGGGCATTTCACGAAAAGAGTCTATTCATCCCCCCCCCCCCTCTAGACTCTCGTTACACTCTATCGGGACCAACATGTGTATATACAATGTATTATATAATCATATAAGGAAATGTGTCCGATTAGAGTTTAAATTTACCCATACAAAATTTAAAATTTACATTTTCTAAATTTATTTCTGAGTATAATTCTCTTAGTTATAATGCATATTTTTAGAATTATAATATAAATGAATTACAATTAGGAATAAATTAACTTAATTATGTGAATTTTTTCTATAAATTTATGTAAATATTTACATGATTAGAAATTATATTAACCATACAAAATTTAAATTTAAATATTGTACGTTATGAAAATAGATATTTGACCAAATATATAAATATCCAACTATATTATTATATGTCCATTTTAACATCTTTTCATTTCTTTTCTATTTTTTAAATTTAAATTCATAATAACAAAAAAAAATTGCATGCAACGCACGGGTACAACACTAATAATTCTTATTATCATAACATAACATAGTCCGTGCAACGCACGGGTACACCAAATATATACTAGTTGGATTAAAAATAACTTTAGTCAAGCCTCGTTAACCAAACCAAACACATAAAATGATACGAAAGAAGTATAAATTATTACTCTACTATCAACATATAGCACGTATGAAGCAACTATTAGTATGAAACACATTGTTCACCAATAGTCATTTTACTTGCATACAAAATATCACATTAAACTTCCTTTCATTTTCCTATATCAATAGCTATAACCATAAAAATATATTTCTCATACAAAAATAGATTTTACTCGCGCCAAAATATAGTTTATAATATATAATAGGTATAACATTCCACTACAAAATAAATTCAAGTTATAGCTCCAAAACAATTCATAATTTATCACCAAATGTCACCAAAGTCAATGACGAGGAAAAACACCGAGCAATAGCCATTACTTTGGTCGCAATGACACTACTGGAAATTATGGAATTTTTGACCACCAAAAAGTGATCTTAAATCAAGTTAATACAAAAAAGTGGTCGGAAATAGCAACAAAGATTTTTCCGAATACCAAAAATGGTCGGAACAAGGCTTTCGAGTTGATTTAAGATCACTTTTAGGTGATCGAAATTCTATAATTTTCAATACTGTGACTCGACCTCTAAATATTATTTTTCAAAATATCTCATTAGTTTTTAATTTTCCGCCCCCACTACCCAATATTTCTTGATCCTCCTCTAAAAATGAAGGTTCTATTTATAGTCGAGAAAATGTAACTTCCACCCCACAACAAACTCCTTTAATATTATATTTATCCAATAAATAATTAAGAGTACAGTCTATCCAAAATGAATATTGCATCCACTTTCAAGATTCTATTATTATATTAGAATTTAATTATAATAATTATAATTATTTAAATTCAAATATAATAAAACTTAGTAAAATTTAAAATATATATATATATATATATATATATATATATATATATTATATATATATATATATATATATATATATATATATATATATATATATATATATATATATAGAGGCGGGTTCAGGTGCGGCAGTGTCTTACGGTGCGGTTATTTCTTACGGTGCGGCAACACCAATAGTTCACCAAATATGCACCATCAACATTAGGAAATACACCACACAAAACAGAGTAAACAGAGCCCTGCATCACCAAACACACACCATTAGGTGTGAGTAAAAACACCATACACTGTTCGGAAAATACATCATTGGAGGTGGTGAGTTATATAGTGTGTTTTTTGGAGTCTGTGGTGTATTTTGTGATGCTTTATTACATTTCATTGGGGTGTGTTTTTATTACACTGTTGGTGCATATTGTTAACACTGTTGGTGTATTCTGGAATTTGACCGCACCGTAAGACCCCGCCGCATATGAGCGTTCTTCTATATATATATATATATATATATATATATATATATATATATATATATATATATATATATATATATATTGAATTGAGCAAGCTAAGGTGAGGAGCTGAGATTATTAAATTGAGTGGAAGAGGATGAAGCTAAGCAGTAAAGCAATGAATTAATTTAAGGAAGACCAGGCAAGATCCACATTTAATTAATTAATTTGTGATAAATCCCTATCCGATGAAAAGTAAATTAAAGCATCCATATCCTAAAACAACGCAACACCACAACTAACTAACCCTTAGCTTTAACTATAAATACTACCATTGCCCATCCATAATCATCAATCTTAAGGAATTGAAACACTACATCAATAACAAAAACAACAAACAATAAACAATGTCGGCTGCCCAGAAGTTGGTTAACGTTGCAGTGTGTCTGGTGTGCATGTTTGTCCTCACCGTCGACGCTTCGCTTTCTTCGGTTTACCAGTCATGCTTCGATCCATGCCATTCTGCTTGCAAAGACACAGGAAAAACCGTCTTTGCATGCGGAAAAGAATGTGAAAGGGGATGTACAGACAAGGCGTATAAAGGTATATATAGTTATAGTTATATTTATATATTAAATTAGTTTTTTTTTCATTAATAATTTTGTGGTTATTTTGTAATTGCAGAGGGCAAGCTTAAGGACGAGAGCAAGGAACTTAAGGAAGAGGAGAAGGAACTTTGGGCCTTTCAGAAAAAACAAGTTAAGGAGTATATGGACATGCGTTGCAAGGACTTTGAGAATAAGCAATGTAAGGACGATGACAAGGAATGTAAGGACGAGGCGAAGTTCTGTAAGGACATGCATATGGCCTTTAAGGAAGAGAACAAGCAGCTTAAGGATGAGGACAAGCTTCTTAAGGACGACAATAAGCTAGTTAAGGATGAGGAAAAAACAACTTAATTAAGGATGGGAATAATAATAAAGCAATCTATTATATTTAATGTGAAACATCATAAGATTTCTATATTTGAAGTCAAGATTGTATTCTGAGATAGTGGTGGTACGGTTTTTCTTGTCACCCCTATCATGTAAAGACTATATGTCACTTTTGTAATAGTTGAAAGTAAATAATTATTTTATTTTTTTTCATATTAAAAATAATTTTTTTATCATTTTTGTATAGTAATGTTTAAAAACTTCAATGATATAACTAATTAAAACATAATTGATTTTAACTTTTAATTAATTTTACAATAAGAAAATTATGAAAATATTATACATGTTTAAAGAGATCAAAATATTATTTATTTAATTATAATATGATTATATGTTTAAATTAATTAATTATAAATAATGTGTTTGATTTTATTTTCACTGCAAAATGTACTAATATTGTTTATCACGGATCTTTTAAAATGCAATGAAATTCCCCTTCACTCTCTTTCTCGTCTTACAGCAAATTATGAAGTGCTATAATGATAATATATTAATCTTAAGACACATATATGTTCCATGCACCTTTAAGTAAATGATCAAAAGTACCTGACATAACTAGGGTTAGGCTTCTGTTTTAGCTAGCTTCACTCCTTGGTGTGGGCCTGTTCGTGTTTCTACTTGGGGGAGAGATTGGCTCGGCAGTGACCGGCGTCGTAAGCGTACCTAATATAACTAGGGTCAGGCTCCTGTTTTAGCTACCTTTACTCCTTGGTGCGGGCTCAATGATCAAATTGGTATCAGAGCCGTACGAACTTTTGGGAGCATAAGAGCCTAAGTTTATGACCTTAGGAATAAAATTGGATAGGAATTTATAATTTTGAAAGCACGAGGATGTGTGATATTGCATATAGTTGGACATTTATTTGATCATTGAGCATTACTTTGATATGTTATTTAATAAAATATTTTTGAAACTTGGTGATTTTATTTGGATACATATTTGCTTATTTTCCTTAATGGTGATTGTTAAATAATTTTGATAATTGATTTGTATATAGTTTGGGTAAGGACTTGCATGGAAGTTACGAGGACGTAACTTTATTTCTTAGGAGGGGAGAATGTGATACCTGATTTTTGTGGTGTATTGAAGTTAAGTTTGAGTCTCATTCAGTTCCCTATTGGTCAAGTCTCTGTTATTCCTTGTTGCCTTATGGTTATGTTTCGGGGACGAAGCATCTTTTAAGGGGTTAAGATTGTAATACCCGGTATTTTCCTATAGTTATGATTCGAGGACGAATCATCTTTTAAGGAGGGTAGAGTGTGATACCCCGTTATTTTTTATAATATTATGTTGATTTAATACCCTCCGAAATTAATTTGAATGATCCAAAATTATGTTAGCCTACTATTAAATTATTTTATTATATATTATGTGACCCAAAAATATTTTTGAAATTATTTAATTAATATATTTTTCAATGATATATACTTATGCTTATAAATAAACATATATTATTTATGCAAACATATGATATATATGTTAATGTGTTACGGATGTACATATATATTAAATATGTTAGTACACACTGTTTTGCTATATATAATAAGTATGTAATCTAATCCTCCTCATAATCATCCTAATCCCATTTAATATGTTTCTTTCTGTTACACAACTCTAATCCCATATATACCTATAATCCTAATCTTGCTATAACTCTAATCTGATTATGTATTTTTCTTATCCTAAATATTTTCCTCTATCAATTCTCACCGATCATCTTCTCGCCAAATAGAAGAAAGAATAAAAACAAATTAAACGTTAGTCTCCTCCTTCATCAACATAGTCCGGTCCTCCATCATCATCATCATCATCAATTATAGCTCGCAGACGAGGGTCGATGAGTATAGGTGTTTCGGATGTGCGCTGAGTATTTCAACTTTTAATTAGCCCGGGTAAGATTTATGTTCACTAAAATCCTTTTACCCCAAATCAAAAATTGATTTTTTCTAATTGTTTATGTGATTCATGATTTTGAAAAAAATTGATGATATTTAGTGTTGTAAGTTATTTGATTATATTATGTGGATAGATATATGAGTTTACTCAGTTTAGATGTGTTGAAAACCCTGCATATGTGATATGGTGATTTTGTGGTGATTAAAAAGGAAAATTTTTTACTCAATCTGATTATTGCCTGTGAAAATTCTGACTGGCGCAGCTGGAAAGAAAAATTCGTGAAAAATGCTTCCTAAACTTGTTTTTGCTTGAATGTTTTTATGGAGAACTTAGACTTGTTATAATTGATGTTTGTAAAAAGTTTGGGTTAAAAATATGTTTCGATATTTCCAGAAAAATTTCGTAAAGTGGAGGCAGTGTGCTGCCAGTTCAATTTCTGTCTGGCGCAGTGTTGGGAAATAATTCGGGAAAAATACTTTTAGACCTTGGATTGATTTGAAACTTTTTGTGTATAATCTAGACTCTCTGTACCTTGTATCTGGAAAATTTCACCTGAAAATGTGTTACCAATATATTTCTATAAATTTTGCAATTCAGGTTATGCCTTCTGAAAATTTCTGTCAATTCCTTATTTAAGATGTTGAGAATTTGTTTGCTTGAGAAATGTCAGTAATGTTGTCACTTTTATAAAGATTGAGGATAAAGGAAATTGATTCTTAAGACTTGTGTAGTATCCTGTTGTGAAATTCTGGATACTTGGGTTATGACCCAGTTTGTTGTGGAGTGAGCGGTTGAATATACCGACTCACTAGGGAGCTTAAAAACTCTCTGTTGTTTTGTGGAGTGAGCAGTAGAAACATATCCTGTCTCACTAGGACTTTTAGTCCTGTTGTTTTGAGGAGTGGTTAGAGGAGTCTACCACTTGGGTATTTACCCTGTTGAGTAGTAGTCAGTAGAAACGTATCCTGACAACTAGGACTAGTTACTACCCATTAGGCTTGGAAACCCATTGGGGGTGTGCACACTTAAGGTATTAGTTCTGTTCCACTTTATTGGGATTTTTGCGTAGTGTTCAGTAGATTTATTACTGTTCACTAGGGCTTATTGAATAAGACCCTGCCCATTATTTGGTTGGTTTAAATGGGATTTTTGAGTAGTGTTCAGTAAAGAGAATTACTGTTCACTAGGGCTTAAATAATTAAGACCCTGCCCATTATTTGAGATTGAATGGGATTTTGTGTAGTGTCCAGTAGAGTGATTACTGTTCACTAGGGCTTGATGAAACAAGACCCTGCCCATTTTGTTGGAATTGGTGTTCCTCCATGTTGGAATAAATATATTACTTTTGAAAGGTTCCTAAAATATCCATTGTGAGAACTACTGAAACAGCTAACTAAAACAACTCAAGGTATGAACTAGTACAAAAACAACTAACAATTCAAATGTCTAACTAATACATGATATATCTAGGTGGTTCGCTCATTCTCATGCCCAATGCTCATGCAAGAGTTCCTGCAAAAACAATTAAAGAACAGAAAACAAAGAAACACACAAATTCAGCATTAAGCTTGTAAGATCTACTTCACCCCATAAAATATTTTGCATATAGCATGCAACACATAGGAGCAAATAGTTTGCATCTAGAATGACCCATTAAACATTTTTATTCTCATCAACAAACCAATAATCTTTAACTTTAACCATTTAAAATACATATTGAGGAAATCACACATCCAAATACAAAAATATCCATAACAACTTCTAGCAAAACGACTAAGGCATTGCCTATCCATAGTCCAAAAATCATCCAACCATTATTCTTTCCTCAAGATTCCCATATAACCTTTATCAACATTTCCATACACCCATAACCTCAAAATATTTCATAGCATCCTCATTACTCAATTTCTTTAAATCATAATCATAATATTATCACCAAAATAATTTCCAATAATAACCAAATAGAGTTTCCAAACTCTCAAAATAATAACCAAAGAGATAATTTCAATCTCTTAACATAACCTCAAAATAGTATTACCAAAGAGAGAATTCCAATCTCTCAATTTATCTCTTTCCAAGAGAACATCTTCCAATAATACATTTAAATTTCTCAAAATCAATCACACTTGATATATATAAATTGCCAAGAAGAAATGGGTACCAAATGGAGGATTTTCAAATTCTCAAAGAAAATAGATTTTCATAAACAGGGAGTTTTCACGGCTCCCTAGTGAGTCAGCTTTTACATCTCTGCTCACTCCTCAAAAGAACAGGGAAGTTAATATAAAACCCCCTAGTGAGTCAGTATATCTCAACTGCTCACTCCACAAAACAGAGAGTTTTTAGGCTCCCTAGTGAGTCGGTATATTCCAACCACTCACTTCACAAAACACCAGATGTCACCACTTTCCATTGACAATATATATATATATATATATATATATATATATATATATATATATATATATATATATATATATATATATATATATATATATATATCTAAAACCTCAAAAGTTCACCACTTAAAGCAAAATCTTTCCACCCAAATAATACTTTCAACTTTACACCTGAATCTATAACCTTTGTACCAATATTTCCAAAAATGTATTTCCAAACATCCTATTAACCTCATAGATATAACACAGATTAGCATATTCCACACCTAATTATTATGAACACAACTCTCCGTATTTATAAGAATGATAACAGTAATGATATTTCACAAGCAAGCAACTTCTCAATATCTCAAATAAGAAACTGACAAAAAATTTCAGAAACTATGACCTGAATTGCAGAATTTACTGAGAAATATCGATAACATATTTTCATATAAAATTTTTCAGATAAGTAGTAAAAAGAGGCTAGATTACACAAAAAAAGTTTGAAGCCAATCCAAGTACTAGAAGTATTTTTCACGAAATATTTCCCAACACAGCGCCAGACAGAAATTAAACTGGCAGTACACTGCCTCAACTTTACAACTTTACGAAATTTTTCTGGAAAAAACCGAAACATATTTTTAACCAAAACTTTTTACAAACATCAAATATAACAAGTCTTGGTTCTCCATAAAAAATCTCAAGCAAAAATAAGTTTAGGATGCAATTTTCACGAATTTTTCTTTCCAGCTGCGCCAGTCAGAATTTTTCTCAGGCAATGATCAAATTGTGTAAAATTTATCATTTTTAATCACCACAAAATTACCATATTACATATGCAGGGATTTCAAAACATCTAAACTCATATATCTACTCACA